CTTGCTCACCCACCCATATTTCGCTTGTGAATCCGTTTTTTCCGTTCCGTAACCGGTTATACAGATTGTGTGTGAAATGGGTGTGTGTTTTTCTCTGGGTATAAGGACCGGTGGCTCGGGTTTATTTTCAAGGGTTCTTGAACTTGTCTGGGTGTGGAAATTGCAGGCTCAAAATCGGGGTTTTGGAATTGTATTTAAATGTTTTTTTTGGCTTTAGAATTCAGGAGTTTCTACTTTTCTGAAGGGGGACGATCAGTGATAACTTGATAATGAAGTTATTCTTCCTGGCACCGCCCCTTTAAGGGACCGCGTAAGGCAGAACTATGGATTTCTGGTTCTGGATTCCTTATGGATTTTTTTTCGTAGCTGCGACCCGAGCGCATGCCTTTCCATGTCGTGATTGGTTTCCCCAGCCTATGCTGATACCACCGTAGCCGAAAAAAACCATAGCGAGGTCTTTAAACCGAGTCAAAGGTCAAAATCAAAAGACAAGGACTATCCTGTCGCCAACCCTTTAATTTTGATACCTTGACCAGCTCTTTAAGCTTTGATTCTTGACCCGGGTGGACTTAATTATGCCCTCAGGGCATTTACAACCTTGTTTGCACTAAAAAGCAATATTGACGACCTCTAGACGCCCAGAATTTTCCTTCTGACGTCGACAAACTACAAATTTCACCCCCGGGGCCCCTACCTCTCCCTTGACCGGAGACCTGTTTTGATTTCAAGGCCCTAAAACCGCGGCGATACGCCCCAAAAAAAGCAGAGGGAGCGCCGAAATAGTACCCTTATCGAAAGTGGGGATCTGTGCTGGTGTGCCTTTCAAGGTGAGGGAACTCTGGAGGGCATTTTGGCGATTTCGTACGTCAAGGACAGTACGTTTTTAGGTATCTCTCGCTCTGTCTCTCTCTCTCTCTCTCTCTCTCTCTCTCTCTCTCTGTTTTCAAAACGCGCAAAAATATTTTCAAAACCATTACCCCGCCTCCTTGGCGCTTTGCATATTTCCCTCCGTTAGGCTAGCGGAGCCTCGCGTACTATAAGTCACCAAAAATATTATTTTGGGTGAAGCTTCTGGCGGTTTGATGGCCTTTAAGGCTCAAATGTCGTCGCTTACCTGGCTTTTTCCTATATTTTTGATTGACAGCTTTTCGGCTGAGTTATCAGTCAGGTAACTGTATTACAAAAAATGAGACTTACGGAGTTGTAGTCTGTAGTTCGACGCCGAAAAGCGTCATCCATTTTCGCGAGCCACATATACCGTAAAATCCAAAAATTGGACTGCACTTTTTGGCACGGGATTTTTTAAGTGTCGGTATCCCGAAAGTGTACAATTAACGGCAGGTTTCGACGCGGAATTAGTAGGCACTGTTAGTACAGAAAGAATCTGACTACGACAGGCTACAAATGACGTTAGCCTAGCGCACTTTGCCCCCCCTTTCACACCTATTTTCGATCCGTTCCCATAAATTTATCATATTCTTGACCTTTTCGTCCCGGGGAGAATGGATGGCGTCGGGCTGGAAATGACCAGCCGGGAAAAGTGGACCTTGACCCTTTGCTTTGCATTTTTCAATATCTCTCTCTCGCGCTCGCTCCCTCTCTCTCTCGCTCTCTTTCTCTCTTTCTTTCTTACCCACTCTCCCACTCTCCGATGATTTCCACACAATGCCAAAGAACACATCGACGTGTGCCCTCTTTTTCTCCTCCCTCCCCCTCCGGTAATCGGGGCTTGTTTTCTATAGGTCGCCCCCGGGAAACAGGATCGATTTTTGGATTCTATTTTTACGCTGATCTTTATGTTACGTATACCTTTCCTTGAAAATCCAGAGAATTTGCCCTTTGCCCGGAGCCATTTTTTTGCGCAAAACCTCGGTATGGTCACACCATCTTATCACGTTGGGGCAGAGTTGCTTGGTTGGTTTCGGCGCAATTTGGGGGATTTCCCAGGCTGGGGAGAGTTTGATTATAACTTAGGAACGCCCCGTTTTCGATGAAGCTTAAGGTCTATTTTTTCGATAAAGCTGACGTTTGAGATCCGGCCAAAATTTGAATTTTAACGTCGCCGTCTTTTAATCGAAAAATTCAAATTGGGCTTTGATCCCCCAGTTGAATTTTTAATGCGCTTTTAAATTTGATTAGCTATTAAAAATACAAACATTGGTATTCAAATTAAGATCCCGAAAATCAAATTCTCCGATTTGCAGTGCAAAAATCCCGCGTTTTTATGAGCTTTTATTATAAATTTTCCTCAAGCCACTAGTTCTAATCCAGTTAAAACACGCCTATTTACCTTAAAAATGTATAACTGGTTAGAAACATCCATAATTTAATAATATTTTTTGCTTACCCTGATTTTTGCTCCCATTCCCCTTCAAAACCCTGTGATAAATCTTCTGTGTCATGGACTAAATATAACTTTTCTATATTTTTAAGTCTATAGTTTGTAGTTTTGATTTGTATGTTCGCTTTGCTTTTTAAAGTTCTACGACTAATAATTGTTGTGGTTATTGATCTTTTCAGGAGCTATTTTTCCACATATTTTTGCTGGTCCTGTGCGTGCTATGCATTGCCTCCTCCCTCTTGGAAAACTTTGGGTAATAGGCTTCGTTACGGGAAACGTCTCTCTTTCTATACAACCGCTTATTCTTATGCTGATTTTTCGGATAAATGGTTGAAAATTTGTTTCGGTATTTTTCGGATCTTTCGATCCTACGGGCTTGCTACCCGAGAATTTTCTATATGTATTTTTTTTACTGTTTTTTTGTTTATTTTTGTATTTTGTAATCTTACCGTATTTTTAATAACGTTTTATGTAGATGGGGTATTTAATTTAAAGCGAATTTTTGGCAGTTTTTTTACGATTTTTGTAGATCTTTGGCTCAAAAAATCGTTGTAGTATCTACTTCCCTCCTATTTTTTTGCTCTCTCGCTCTCTCACTCTCTCGCGCGCTCTCTCTCTGTCTCTCTCTGTCTCTCTCTGCCAACCCGTTCCCGCCAATTTTTCATATATCCTCTCGAATGGCTGTGCCGGAATTCAGGTTTCTCAAGTTCTCACAATTCGAATGAAATTGGGAAGAGGGAATATCTTATCATTAGCGGGGGGTCTGGCCAGCCACCTCGGCGGCCGGATATGACCATCTTTTCTAGCTGTTCGAGCCAGTCTATCTCTCCCCCCCCCCACCCGCCCCCACTCATGTGCATAACATGCCCCGGTCAATTTTTGGAATCAGACTCATTTTGCTGTCGAGACATTAAAAAATGTAGGCTTAACTGTTTTATAGCTTTGACGGCCTCGTTTCCGCTTGGAAATTAGAAACCTTAACTCTCAATTTTCCGAGCTTGCTTGCTTCTCACGACGAAAACGGCACGAGATGTTTTCTCGTGCCTTTTCTTTGCCGTTCTAAACTTTTTCTTCTTCGTTTTTTTTTTGCTTATTAAACTGATGTCAGTTAGTATTTCAAATCCGCTTTTAAAGGGAGCCAGACAGCTCAATTTCACTATTTATCGGCACGATTTCTTTTTTTCCTTATCAATCTCCAATTTGAACGTGAAGAACTAAATTTTGATGGCATTATCCCTTTAGAAAATAGTCTATAACTTGTGGATTTTGTCGCTTACACAAATTTTCTTATTTTGGCGGCTTTGCGTTCCCAAAAGCTGGTCCTCAGATTTTTCATTGTTGAGGGTTAGTTTCATTGCCCCTGATCTTAATTGGAACTGATAGTTGTTACCATTTTTCAAAATTCGCTTTTGCGAATTGTCTTGCATACAGTTGAACAACAACGAAAAAAACATCTAGTATCATCCTGCCTAGCCAAAAAAATTGCTGGCAAATCGCTACCAGGGGGTTGGCCACGGAAATTTGGCCAATCAGGGGTTATTTGGAGACGGGAAAGTCCTGTTTTTTGGCTGTGAACTTAAAGTGTAGCGCTCTCTCTCTCTATCTCTAGCTTCCTCTCCCTCTTTTTCTCTCTCTCTCTCTCTCGTTCTCTCTCTCTCTCCTCGTCTAGTCATTTGATTCTGAACTTCTAAATCCGCTTATCACCCCTTCACTTTGATGGGGAGACGCTGATCTCAAAATCGAAACCTCTTCATGTATCAAAAAACAGCCCCGGAATTGATTATGCAATCGCTGCCCTAGACGTTCATTAGTGAGTCACCCCGCGGCGTCCCAGGACCGAGAGGTCACCTGTTACCCCGGGGCTTTTTATCAAGATCTGTGTCAGACCCCAGATACATACCTTACTATTGGTGTTTGACTCATGAAACGGCAGATAGGAATAGATTGGTGTTTGGACCCGAGATCGCACGAAGTCGTTATTTAGCCAAATAGATCATTTTGGTCCACGCTTCTATTCCAGGGTTACGATATTCATTAATATATATTTTGTAATTAAATATTAAGTGTAATTATTTTCTTTATCCAGACAATATTTAGTTTCTTCATTGGAAAAACTAGCATTTTTTGAGCTGACTAGACTTGGGTTTTTTTTGTGATCAAGACAAGATTTTTCGTTGAAAAGCTGGTTCAACTGTTTTGGAAAAGTTTCGAATTTTTCTAATGCGGCATTTAGAAATTATAATTCATTTTCTCTAAGTTTTTATCGTATCGCGTCTTCAAATATTACACATTTAGACATTTTTAACGCTTTGCCTTTTCAAAAAATCGAAAAAATTTTCCTTCTAATTGTTTTAAGAAATATGTAAGACTTTAATTAGTTTTTTTTAATCTTAGCGGAAAAATTCATTGTAGATGTTGGTATTTGCGTAATCCCTTTAAAAAAAACCCACTTTTCTGGAAACCCAGGATTAATTAGCTCCTATTATGCGCCTGGCCTTTCCGTTAAGCCGTGCATTCATCTCTTCGATTCATGGTTTATATTTTTCTATTTTTTCGATTTCCGGTATTGTCCTCATTACGCTTCATCTATCCTCCTTCTCTTTTTTATTTATTTTTCTCATTTTCCAGGCCCACCGACGGCACGGCGAATGGTCCATAAATGACGTTCCGCACCGAGATGGACAACAGCTTTCTGCACAATGAGGTATTAGTTATAGCTTTTTAGTGATGCTTTAATTACCTAAAGTAGCTTCGGTTTAGCGAGCTTCAAAAGCTTAACTAGCTTCACTTTTTACGATCGAAAACAAGCCCAAGTTTCAGTTCCACAAATCAAAATCCGACTTGCTCTTCTGGCATAGACACCACTTTCCGGTACTTTTAAGCTAATTTTGGGTTATAGAGAGTTAAAAAGAGTTATCTGGGGTGAGGTCTAACATGTTAAAATATCCTCTATGACCTGACTAACCCCAAATACCCCTAGTTAAAAATTTATGCGCTTAAAACTATCCTTTTTCTACCCCAAAATTAATTATAATTGACCTTAACTTTAAAAAATTAAAGTTAATGGTGTGTTCCTTGCTGGCCTCATTTGAAAAACACATCAAAATTAACCTACGCTTCATTCCAGACAACGGAAGGCGACCGCTCCTCGGTGCGCTCCTCTGAGGCGTCTGGAGGTGCGGCTGGAGGCCGAGGGTCCCCCGGAGAAGAGCTGAAAGAGCGGAAGCGGCTCGAGGAAAAGATTGAGAACACCAAGCTCAAGATCAGCAAGGTCAACTTGAGTTGTGAAGGTGGGTTTCTGAGCACAAAACGATTATCTCGCGCTACAAAATACACAGATTTTTGTGTCTTGGAAAAGTTAGAGACGTAAGGTATCCTTGAATGGACTCAAAAGCCTACAAATTTTGGAGAAAAATCGTAGAGAAATTTTGTATGGTGCGCCGAGAACCTCTAAGAGAATGAATCTGAAAAATGCCTCAGCCATAGCCAACTGTGACTGGAAAGTGGACCAACATCTGGTCCCTGGCGGCCAGCTAGTTGCTTTTTCGGAGTGTCCGGGTCTCGCAACTTTTGCCTGAAAAATGCCTATATTTTTTAAAATTCTTTTGAGCTATTTTGAAAAGTTATCAAAATGCATTTTGTACTTTGGACTCTCTAAAAAATCAATTCTAGCCGACGTCGAGCAGTTCTTGGAGATGTCCAGAGCGGCGGAGATGTCACGGGGAATCGCGAACCCCCAGATGACCCGGCTAAAGCAGCACTTTGAGAAGAACAACAAAAAGAACGCACAGGATTTGGAGTCGTTACAGGTAGAAAAGAGAGAGAGAGAGAGAGAGAGAGAGAGAGAGAGAGAGAGAGGGAGAGAGACAGAGACAAAGAGACGGTAAACGCTCGTTTTTCAGAAAAAACTCGCTACCTATGAACATCGGCTGCAAGAGCTGGGCAACACTAGTGTCCTCGAGACCAGCTCTAGGTCTGGAAATATTGTTCAGGGCATTAAGTAAGTTAAATTTGCACTTTTTGAAATGATCTTTAATATGCTGCACTTTATTTTATATTATAATGTATTTTCAGGAAAACTGGCGCTACGGTACGCGACCTTACTGGCCATGTGATTGCCGCCCCGCTGAACATGATCAAGAATCAATTCGGGTCGGCGGATAATATTAATGATGGAGGTATGGATTTTATGCTTTCCTTTATAAGTTCCTTGCTGAACTGTTAGAAAACCAGGACCTTTTACTGGAAATACAAAAACTACAAAATAACACGAAAATTTAGAACCGTCCCACGCCGTCGGGCAGTCGGTGTTCTACGCAAAGTCGGACCACGCGTAGGTTTTTGCTATAGATTTTGTTTTTTTTTGTTGCTGTAATTGGCTTTCCAAGCTTAGAAAGTACGCAATTTAGAATGTTAAACCTAAAAAAGATACCATCTAAAAACAAAAAAATGAAAACATTTAAAATATAGAACAAATTCAAATGATGACATTTTAAAGGTATCGTTTCAGCCAACCCTCCACCTCGCAGACTCCAAACTCCAAATCCTCAACCCTGCCTCCAGGCCTGAGAATGCCAACATCTCCCACGTCTTCCAAACCGCCGTCAAACTATCAGACGCCCGAGTCGAGATTTAGTGAGTTCATTTAATTTTCAGATGTCAATTGAAGCCAGCCAGCAGCGATCGTTTAGTGATTTTTTAATGGTATAGAAAGCGCTGTTCTAAATGGATCAATACACTCCTTTTTGCCTTTATAACACCTTTCACACACCCATTTTCAGCTGCACGGAAAGGCGACTCGGACCGAGGGTCAAATGACAGTCCAGTTGGGGAAGATTTGGCACTTTTGCTGAAGGAAACGATGGCCGAACTCCGGGAAGCCAAGGAGGCCAACGCCGAGTTGATGCAGAAGTTCAACGAGCTGAACGTGGGTGTTTAAATACAAAGGAAATCCTTCGTCAACTTCCCAAAAAAGACGTTAATTTTAATTTTCAGGACTTCGTGCAAAAAGAACTGAAATTCTTCGACAAATCGCAGCAGCAGGACAGCTTCCGGTATCAATCACTAGAGGGACAACTGAATGAGACGATAGATTTGCATCAGGCCGAGGTATGAACTGCTTGAAGTTGATTAAATCGCAAAAAGGATGCTTCTTGTTGTTACACCCCCTTTAAAAGTCATGCTGAACTTCTTGAACTTTGTTAAAGAAACGAAAAATTTATCTATGTTTTAGATGAACTCACTTCGATCGGAGATGAACACGCTAACTGACCGCCTCGACTACCAGTACAACGACCGCTTCAAGAAGGTCGAGGAACGGGTGGAGAATACGCAGAATCATGTGGCGAGAATGGAGCACTCCTTCAAGCAGACGATGAGTGAGCGACAGGTTAGTAGATCTCTCTCTCTCTCTCTCTCTCTCTCTCTCTCGCTCTCTCTCTCTCGCTCTCTTTATTTCTCTTTCTCTCCTGCTGTAACGCGCATAACCATTATTTTAGGATCAAGCAGTCTGGGGTGGTCTTCTACTACACGGAGCAAACGTATTGGTGGAGATTCTGAAGTTAGTGCTGTTCGTCGTGGCAAGCACGCTCGACTTCTTCAAGCCGTTCGCTGGAACGAGGTCAGTAGATGCATATTTTTTTCTTTCATTCGGTGTCGCTCTCTCTCTCCCCCTCTCTCTCTCTCCTAATTTACATCTCCCGTTTCAGAACCCGTACGGGTTTCCTCCTGCTCGGCATCGTCGTCGCCCTCATCGTCATGCAAAACGTCGACATCGTGGGGATGATCTTCAGAAAGAAACGGGGCCCTGTACTTGCCGCTGAAGTGGAGAACCTCACCGATTGACTAGCCGGCACAAATACCAAGCTGTAGCGGTAAAACGCTGAATTAAAGGGACTGGCAAGGCACGGTACGGATCGTGGCTAATCCATGACCAAAAATCCATGGGCTCTGCCTTGTCCGGTCCTTGAAACTCTCCAACCGTTACATTACGCTCCAATTTACAAGCTTCAGTAAAAAAATCGATTCCCTGCCGCCTTTTTTTCCTTTCCGGAACAACCCAATGACCAATACGCCTAGTCCTGTAGGTTTTCCGAGTTTTCCAATTTACACCCCTTTTGTACGCCTCCATTTTGCAGGTCAAAATATTTCCATGGCGTATCCGATTATACCCTTTTTGTAATATAACCCACGATAGTTGTGCTCAATTTTGCCAAGCCTCTCGCTTCTCGTAAATGTCCAATTTTTCTTTTTTCATTCCCATTTCCAAAATACACGATTTGAGATTACGGTAGCTATCGAATTTCCTGTCTTTTTCTGACCCTCCTCCAAAAATTGAACTTTTCGCAGAGCTTGCCCGAGCTAACGGTAGCCACGCCCCTTTTTTTATTTGGTACTTTAGTGTCTTCCCAATTTCAATGGTCGCTCTCCTCGAATTTTCTGAATTTTTCACGACAGGGTCCTCTCTTGTAATTCCGCGCCTACGGTAGGTTTTCCTATTCTGTTTTTGGGCGATTTTCGACCCAAGTAAAGTCGAGCCCACCCACAACAATTATGCTAAACATTGTGATGCTCCTGACCTTGAATTGTCTCGTGTATCTTTGTACGTTTTGTGCTTGCATAAATTTGATGCAAAATTGGCTGAAAAACTGCATAAAAATTATTTTATACAATTTGGAAAGAGCGCAAATTGTTCAGGAGTTGCTGGCTTCAAAAGGATATAGAAAAGCACTATAAAACGCTTAAATCGACCCCTTCCATCAGCTGGGTCTCGACAGCTACGCATTACTACAAAATACACACAGAATTCGCGCCCTGATGAATATTAGCTTATCCAAATAAGACATAGATATACCAGAATCAGCCTTGGCGAAATTTGGCCTGGCGCGTAACTGTCGATACCTAGTCTATGGAAGGTCTCGATCATAGCGTTTTATGCACCTTTAAAGGCACAATGACATCAAAGTTTTGTGAGAAAAACGAGGCTATTAGAAGTGATATTCAGAACACAGAAAATGAAGACACCCGAGTGATATGCATCGTTTAAACGTATTGCTCATTAGCCCTGAGTTTGGCATGATTATTGAGCAGCTGCGACGATGACGCCCCATATGCCACCAATAGCGGCTCCAGCCGCCGTCCCGAGTGGACCGCCGAAAGAGCCTAGATACAGCACCTTATCCATATTCGTTATCATCACTATCAATCCCAAACGCGCTGCGCATATGGTTTAACATTGCGACATAAGGGACTTACGACTCTCAAGGGTTTGGAATTGGTATGGCCTTACCGAGTTTAGCAAAAAATTGGACAATGAAAACTGTCAACCTACCGATCGACGCGCCGACCGCGATGCTGCCACCGATGACGTCTTCGGGCTTCATTTTGCAGAACGGGTAAGGAGTAGGGAGTAGGTGGGCAACGTCGAATACAGATTAGACGCCAACCCTTCGCTAGTCGCTCTTTTATGCCTCCGAAATTTTTTGCCGCAACACCGATAGTTTTGCCTGGCAATCGTGCAAGAAAAATCCGCAAGCCATGATTGCCCGGCAAAACAATCGGTGCAACCAGGAAAGGCGTGTTCTGGCGCAGAAAATTAGAGGGTGTCCCACGGATTGGTACGTATCGCTACGTAGCAACGCCTGACGTTTTTTTGTGGCAGAAAACAATCATCCCCTGTTTAGACCTCATGTCTGTATTTTGTTGGATTCGTGATGATTTCCCTCGTTAATATGTTTTTCTCAGTATGCCCTCCCAAATTTTCTTATGGATCCGACTATACCGCAGATTTTTGGGCTTTTTGGGCCCTCGTGCAACCGAGGCAACACTTATATAGACGCTATAAAGTGCCAAAGACGACGCCTACCATTAGCTAGTTCTAGACAGCTACGCGTACTCCGGAACATGAGTGAACCATATGCGGATCTAGCTGCGGACCCAGGTCTGTAGGATGCGCAAAATCGTAATTTGGACTGAGGACTCGCTGTCTATGTCCATTGCTTGGAAGATGTCAGTTCCGGCACTTTCTTGCCCCTTTAAAGTCACATCGTAAAAGAGTCGCGTTGCTTCCGAGGAAAAATGTAGCAGATTTCGCGATGCAGGCATCAAAAGGTTTATTCAAAGGTGATATGCGTGATAGGCTAGTTGATCTCGGGCTTTTCGCGGGTATCGATTATTTTTTGGAGCTTGCCAGGATGAGACCCCATACGGCTCCAACACCTGCGCCAATTGCCGTCCCCGCGGGCCCGCCGAACGACCCTAAATTGCATGGTTTTGTAACGCTCTATTAATATTTCAGATGATTACATTACGTGATGAAAGCCAGCAAAAAGTCTCGGGCCCAAGAACGCTGTTTGGTGCCCTCAGAAACTACTTCCTATGCGTACTTACCGATACCAGCGCCGACCGCCGCGCTTCCGGTAACAATCTCGTGGGGCTGCAGTTGGTGAGGCATGGTGCAAAGTCGGAACAGTGACGCTACCATCGAGGCCAGCCACCCATTTTATGTCTCAGATTATAATGTCGCAACACCGATTTCTATAGCAACAGAACCCCTTCCAACAAAATTGTTTCGCGCAAGTAACTTCGTAAAAGCAGCGGAATCATGCGCTGAAAATCACATGCAAAGGTACGCATTGATACGTATTGCCGCGTAACGTGTATTTCGTATTTAGACAAGAGTCTACGGGCTTGAATTATTTACTATTAATATTAAGTAAACGTTAATTAGGTTCACAAGATAATACGTAATATTCATAGCTTCCTTCCAGTAAATGCCATCTTTCTCGAATAAGAAAATTTAAGAACTGCCTTTTGGCTTTCACCTCAACCACGAGTATTTTATATCCGCTTTACGGTTTCCATATTTGCGAAGAAGCTGGAAAGAAATTTTCATTTATTTCTTGTGACCATGAGAAAATGAATGTCGCAGCCAAACAATGTGTAGCCTTCCTGATCAAGTAATTTAATGTTTTTGCAGGGAGTAATTTTAAAAGCAAATTTATTATTTGAAAACTGTCTTGAAAACGTCCACGAACGCTCCAACCGCCATTTCGATCACGTCGGTAGCCGCAGCGGTCACCACTTCTAAACTTATAATTGTTTTATCTTTCTGAGAGCATGTCGGTTCCTCCTGTACAATATACTACATAGTACGCAACATTTAAAAATGGTATCCAAAAAAAGAGGCAATTACGTCGAGAACTTAAGACCTTGACACATACCGACAGCATCTTTAACTCCCGGGTCCGACGTCACAGCATCACTGTTCGGCATTTTAGAAACGTAGAAATTTGCGAAAGCTAAGCTAAGCCAGCTCGCGCAGAGTTCGTTACACGGCTTTTATCCTAGCAATTTGTGGCGCAAGAGGCCGAGGCTGATAAGGCCATCCCCATGGTGTGTCCATAGCGCGTACGCGCGAAACTCTGAACATTCAATTTTCTTGCAACAAAAAATGATGCGCAAAAAGTACACCGCAAAAAAATTGTTTTAGGGAACCCGAAGCTAAGATGTGGTTCCCCCCCGGTTCCCCCCTCCTCATGAGGGCCTGTCCATGCGTATGAATACGGCGTTGTGTCCATGCGTGTTTGTTGCCACGCATTTAATTTGTAAGGTTTTCTTGGGGTTGTAAAGTTTATTAAAAGCTCATGGAAAAAATAAATACACGCACACATAGGTGAATTTGGAAAAGAAGGCAGAAGGCGGAAGACCCGTAGAAAAGTGTAGGCTACTTGGCGATTTCGACGACAACGCCCACAGCGAAGCCGGCCCCCGCACCGATGGCCGCACCAGCAGCGCCTCCGAATGTACCGCCTGGAAATGGGGCATAAATTTACCTGGGTAGGTTATAAAATGGGTCTACTATTTGAAGAGTATATACACAGATTTTTTTTAATAGTAGAAATTCGTAAGGACATACCAATGATCGCTCCAGTTGCGGTGTTCTTCGCAATGTCGGACATTTTGGGGTCAGGAGGTGGCTTGAATCCGACTGGCCAGAAACTATCAAGCACTCCCAGTGCACTGTTTTAATACCTTTTGGAACTCCTGACGCAACGAAATTTTATGACTAGGCCAAACGAGCTTGTGGTGTTATCTCAGGCGCTGGGGGCTACTTGTTCGTGTTGGCGGCGCCGAAATTCTGTGGTGCAACAAACCTTTTTTCCGGCGACCTGACAGCGTCGAAAATTATTGAAACCAAACTGGGCTGTTGGTGCAGCCCGATTCCTGGCGCAACAGAGTTTTACGGTTTGGGAAAACGCCGAACGTTTTGAGATAAGACTACCTGTCTGTGCGGTTCGGCGGCGACAGAAAAATACCTTTGCCTGCAGCTAAGATTGAGTGCCCTTCTACATGTATTTTCAGATATATATTTATCACATGGGTTTTCTTGGAGGAAATGGGGGTTCTTTCGTGCTTCCGTCTCACTTTGTGATCTAAAAAGTTCTATTGATCAGCCCAGGAATTATACTTACGTAAAAATACGATCCAGCCTCCGGCGTGCCAAGTAATTTTCCCGTGGCTGTCGATAGGAATTCCGTGAACGAGGTGTAATTTGCGTGAAGATCCTAGAAATATATTTCTTTAAGCAGGATATTTGAGCTGCCCGGAGTTTGCAATAGCAGTTTTTGTCAAAAAATCCCTACCTGCCAAGTCTGCGGATGCCGTCTCGTCAGTCTTTGCTTCGTTTTGAAAACCAGAACTATGTAAAGTTTTCTGGCTACAAAATATCGAGTTAAAATTACAGTAATTCACTTCCTACTTTGTTTTGTCGAAACCTTGTCATTGGTGATCGTCATCACCCGATTGATGCTTCTGAAAACAATCTAGACTTACCATTTCCGAAAAAATTACTGTTTTCTCACTTTAATAGTTAAAAAATTACTTAGATTCTCAATAAAATTCTAAGTCTAAAAACCAATATTATCGAAAAACCTACCTGAAAAACACGCCTTCATCCCATGGGGGTACGGATAAGTCGACCTCACGACTCAAAGTTGATGGCCGATTGTAATAAAAGTTCATGGATTCCGGGTTTCCGTGAGGGTCTAAATTATCGACTTTCGTAGCGATACCATGATTATATTGAAACATTAGGGATCTATTTTGACATGTTGCAATACGCTACAAACTACAAAAACAAAAACGTCAATAACTCTTACTGTAGAGCAACAAGACGTGATGGAACGACCCTGGGAACTGGTCTCGCAGGAGGGCTACCTGGAAATAATTATAATGAGATTTTTGGCTTTATGGGCTGCTGAAGGCGATATTTTTACTGAAAATGAAAACAGTTTGGCTAAATAAATAGTTCCAAACCTTTTTCAACGTCACCGGTTCCCTGAAGCGATAGTTCAGCATCGAAAAGTGATCGCCAGTTCGGATTTCGGGCAACGGGTTTCCGGTCGGGTTTTTTACGTATTCATTCAGGGTCATCTAAGAAAAAGTCCTGGCATATTTCAAGGTTGTCTTTAGCTTCATTGGTTGATTAAATCTATAACATTGCACTAAATTTGAATTAACTTACAAAATCAATGCCAGCCCCTGGCGCCTGGGGAACTAGCGAAGGGGATAGTGAAGTGACATAGAAAACTGGCATCGAAAAATTGGCTGACAGCTTGTTGATGCCGACTTTGGTTTCGTAGAACACTAAAAATATAAAGTACAAAAACTAGATAACGTTTTTACCATTTTCAAAACTATCCAGCGCTGTCGATTTGCAGCACAAATGCATATTGTAGGTGGAGAGCATCTAAGAAAATCAGACAAAATCGATTACGGTCGGTTTTAGGACACTTTATAACCTTAAAACTTATTTATAACGCCAATATTTTAAGCGAAACTTGAAGACTACAAACTTGACTGTTTACGGCCTGCTCGCAGGCATACTCGTCGGGACACGATTTTTCTTCCGTTGGATCGCAAAGTAACACGGAGGGTATATCGTAAGAAGTAGCACCATAGGGACAAACTATTGACGAAAAAAGATTTTAGGTTTTAAGTAGTAGCTTACTTGGCTTAACTTGCTCAGGTACTCCGGGAGGACTACTCAGATCCTGGGGTACGTCCGAGCAACAGCGATAGTCTTCGGAGAGCTAAAAATACGTAGATTTCGAGAGAAAGAGAAAGAGAGAGAGAGAGAGAGAGAGAGAGAGAGAGAGAGAGAGAGAGAGAGAGGGATAGACAGCGAGAGACAGACAGACAGACAGACAGACGGCGAGTGCGTGATCTTTTCCTTACCTTCGAATAAACGCATGCCGGATTCCTCCCTGTACACTCGATCGGATCATGCGGAGTACACTTCACCCCCTCGTGCTCGAACTCTCGGCATTGCGCAAAAGTAGAGAGGATGTTCTGCTCGTGGGTTTGCCAAGGGAAGGGGCAGACTGAAAAAATAGATAACAATGGGGTTTTGGCTCCAAAACTAGATTTTACATGATTTTAAGCGGACGGTGACATCAAGATTTAAACCCGGATTTGCTCAAATAAATGCGTTTTAAAGGAACGATTCGTGATGCAGTAAAATTCCTTACCGCGATTGTTGTGGGCCTTTAAAGGTATCGCAAAAAATTAGACAAACAGGTATGGCTTAAGCGCAAAATGTCAGTGTCATTGAAGGCTTGCGTAGTGAATGATCTAAAGCTCACTGTCTTCAAACTCGTTTCGATCCTCTCCCAACTCTTCCTCTTCTTTCTCTTCTTTCTCCTCTTTTTCATCCACCTCTTCCGACACCTCCTTCACGTCCTTGTCAATTTTTTTTCGACTTTAACTTGGAAAATCTCTTCTTCGACGATCTTTTTGCATCAATAGCCGAATCCAGAAGTAGTAGGAATACCAATACTTTTAATAGAAGCATTAGAAGCGTAAATTTCACGTCTCAGGATCAGAAAATAAGAAATATAGAAATTCTGGATCTAGAAGAACGCTGACGCACCAGATTCCGCAAAGTGGCTCCTCTGAAATCGACCAGGAACGTTGCCGAAAAAAGCTGAAGCTCTAAGAAGCGGAAAAAAGCCCTTTAGCGGCCCGTTAGAGAGCGCGCCGATAGGGCCCGGATTGTTGGGATGCATTTTGTTGACTCGCCCGATCAGTCACGATCGCCAGTTCTCAGTTCTCGCCCCGTGTCCTTCTCCGGCTTCAGGCGTCTCCTCTCCTTTCCGGGGCGCAGGCCTAATCCGCCCTCCGGGGTCCTTAGTCCCGGCATGCGAACGTCGCTCTCTCGTTTTGCGGGAATCCCGGAACACATTTTTGGGGTTGTGGATCGAAGACCTGGTTCCGGCTCGATTTTTATAGCTAAGAAATCTCAAGATCTCAAGAAGGCTTAAAACCTATACTACCTCCACCCAAAAATTGTTCTGGCAAGGTTTTCAAACCGTTTATTTTTCTTGATCGTTATCATTCTAGCCCGGATTTTGCTCAAAAAGATAATCTTCTGTTGCTCTAACTCATGCTCAATCGCCGATCCCCTGACCAATTTTTTCTTGCTTTTGTCATTTTTATATTTCAGACACTATTTTCTAAATGATAATAAGATTGATACTATTCCACGCCTCGTTTCATCCCCTAATCTACGCTCAAATGCCGCATAATGGACCGCCACCGCCGCAGAATAACAAGCCAGGCGAGCCCTTTCGATACCACATCAGCTATGGGTCGATTCTAAATAGGCCTCCAAACCCCTTTAAAAAACAGAATATGCAAATTACTTAGAATCGGCTCGTTTTCCATTCTAATCCTACTATATATAAAAAAAATAGTGTCTGTGTGTGTGAGTGTGTCCGTGCCACTTTGCATGCAACTTCCGTCAGCGTGTTCCAGTAGTATCTCACTAAGGGGGGTAGTTAGGGGTATGTTTTATACCTCATTAGGTGCGTAATGGCCGTGGGATGCCTGCACACTAATAACAATTTCAAAAATTAGCTATTTTCGACGTTAAAATTAAGTTTTTGTTGAAAAATCGAGCACCTTCTTTGTTAGGAAACAATTAGCATAGACCGGAAGTCACGGTAGCCTATATAAGGCAAGAGGGGTAGCGTTTCTCATTTTTTGTCATCGAAAACCGTGAGAATTATGCAAAGTGAAGAATATCATGGGATCAGACGGGGCCAGGGTTGAAAAGTCGCGAAGCGGCTTTTCAACCCTGGTTGTTACTATTTTCCTTTCAGATTGTTCCCAACCCTGGCAATCCCGGGAACTCACCTACGTTCCTGCGTTGAGTCAATGCTCAAATTACGAGGATGGTAAGGTTTTTTTAATCCATTTTATCCCAGAATAAATTTTTTAGGTAGCGGTATCACCTGCTCCGAGAAGAACCCATTTACCTGTACTGGGAGGAATCCGTTTTGCGCCTCTGTCGGGAACAAGGAATTCCGGTGTTGCAGTGACATGATCCAGGACAGTACTGAACAGCTGAATCTAAAACCGGAAGAGATTAAACCAAGTAGGTGGTAGCGTAAGGAGCCTTATCGCGATGTTAGTATTCCAAAAAATGGAATCATTTGAAGTAATTATTATCGTTTTTTTAGTCTGCCCTAACGGCGCGATCCCCTACCGTATGCCGTACGCGATGCTGTGCGACCCGGCGATCGTCAATATTTGCCCTCCAAACTACAAATGCGTCGAGGCGGCCAATGGTCATCTACTGCCACATGATGGACGATCGCTGTGTTGCAAGACTAGCACGCTGTATAGTTTTGCCTCAGGTACGAAGAAAAACAATTTGGACGACCTTTTCATTTATAATTTTTCTAGCGCTAGGTTTAAGCGTTTTAGTAGTCAAATTTTAGTCTTTGCTGAAGCCCAACTGACTCCAAGAATTGTTCCGGCGCCTCCAGTCGCAGCGATAGAACATGTAAGTTTGCACAAAATTTTCTTGTGTTTTTTTTGGTATTGTGGCGTACTAGGATGTTTGGCGCTTGAATATGTAGTATCGGACGTGCGATTACAGTAACTTACAAGGGAACCTCACGCGGACCGGGTGGAATTTCGAAAAACGCTCGCGGCTACCCCTAGGTAATCGACCATTGCGATCAAGATGCGCTTGTCAGATTTTTCTGAATGCACCTGTGGACATAGATACAGCACTTCCGGAAAATGATGATTTGCATGAGAAAAATTAGCATCGAGGGATGGTTTATTAGGCTCTCCCATCACTATGGAATCACCAGTTGAATGGCCGAGTGGTAAGCAACTCGCTTGTTAGGATACCGACGAGGGTTCGGATCCGCTCACGACTTTTTATTTTGCTTTTTTGGCCAGAGATTTTTGCACAAGTCCAGAACATCGCCAAAATTGATGAAACCCCCATACTTTACCCAGGATAATCCCTTGTTTTTTGAAATGTTTTTCGTAAAAATATAGTCCCGGCATCGATCCGGACGGCCATGTATCCTTTGGCACGCCAGAGAACAAAAATTTTTTGGCTGTTTTGTAAGAATCCTTGTCTGATCGACTGCACCAGAAAATGCTAGAACGGCACCCCTGGCTCGTGCAAAAATCGACATGTAAAGATTTGGGTCTGATACATCTGGACTTGTGCAAAAATCTCTGGCCAAAAAAGCAAAATAAAAAATCGTGAGCGGATCCGAACCCTCGTCGGTACCCTAACAAGCGAGTTGCTTACCACTCGGCCATTCAACTGGTGATTCCATAGTGATGGGAGAGCCTAATAAACCATCCCTCGATGCTAATTTTTCGCATGCAAATCATCATTTTCCGGAAGTGCTGTATCTTTGTCCACAGGTGCATTCAGAAAAATCTGACAAGCGCATCTTGATCGTAATGGTCGATTACCTAGGGGTAGCCGCGAGCGTTTTTCGAAATTCCACCCGGTCCGCGTGAGGTTCCCTTGTTAGTATGCTGTACTGTAGCGTACTATTACGTAGTGTTGTGTACTGTCGCTTCCAGTTGCGTTCTTGATTTTCCGAGCGGTTATTGCGATGTGTAACTACGTATGTATTGTAGCAACAAATTTTTTACTATCCCATATCGTGCCGTGGGTTCCAAAAAAAACAGCGTGATGCAACTTCTGAGTCATACGGTAGCGCATTGTATCGTAGTTTCAAGCATGAGCGTAACGTTTCGTACTGTAGTGTACCTTCGTGTACCGGGTTTTATTTTTCAGGTAACCCTAAACGTCCACACCTCCGCACTAATGCACGCACCAGAGATCCGAACCGGCGATCATTTTGTCCTAGCTCCTTTCAAGCTACTCGAGCCGGCCTACATCAAGAATATCAAATTATTCTCAGAATTACCAATTGGCAGTTATATGCATGTAGTAATGTTTGGTAAGCTAAAAAACAACAGAAAATTCCATTAATGGTGAACTTCAGATCCTGTAAGTGTCACCGAAACGCTACAATTCTACTATGATCGCCCTTCGAGGGGAGGTATTGAGAGGACGATTTTTGCCTGTTTCAAGAAACTTCAGGAAAGGTATTGGATCTCGAAGAGCCGGTGGATGATGGTGGATTTATATCAAAGAAGATCTATAATGCACATCCGGTAACGAATATGGACGAGCAGCAGAAACGGCCGGCAAATCAATGTATCGTGCGAGATCGCGCTTCTCTCATCTCTCTCTCTCTCTCTCTCTCTCTCTCTCTCTCGGCTCTCTCTCTCTCTCTCTCTCGGCTCCTTCTGTCTTTTTCTCTCGTTGAATCTTCATTTTTAGATCGAAAAATGTGGGTGGTGTTGATGTTCCGGACTGTAAACCCAATTACGAGACTTTACGTCTCAGTTACGGTGGATTTGCATGCGAAGTATCGAAGTGTTAGGTCAGTTGTAGAAATTTTATAGTTTTTTCTAATGACGCCGAAAAACGCTTAAAATGAGAATTCCAGCTAAAAGATCCCATTTTTAGCGAATTCCTGCGCTCCGACACTGGTCGACTACTCGGAACGCCGACAGCCGGGACCTATTTTTATGTAATTTGACGGAAAATTCGTCATAACAATTTTATAGATTACCAACGTCTAGCTGAAGAATTTCAATTGCCTGCAGCGGAAGATTGCTCCCTGTGATGGATTTCAGTCGTTTAATTTATATTGAATAAAGCCACATAACTTGTCGCAAAATCAACAAACAAAATCTTGCACGTCTCATTTGTTAGGACATTCACTTTTCAGGCGGTGATTTAGTTTTTGTGTGGCGAGTTCAGGCTAGACTTTCACGCATCGACCGAGAGAGAAAATGGGCTCTCCCGGGGTCAGCTTACACTTATCGTAGTGGTTTTTTGGGAATTCCCGGAAGCTGGATTCTCCTTACTGCAGAATACCATCGTTTTTCACGTTTCACTACATTTATAAGAACGTTTGAAAGGGAAGGCCAGGCGTATTTAAAACTCTCACTTTTGATTTTCGGATTTTCACTTGCGGAGATTCATTTCCAATCCCCATTTTTGAATTTTTGATTCCCAGTCCAATCCGTCATCAGTGTTTTATAAATTTTGAGCCTTAAATGTTTTTAATTCGTCCGTATTTTTGAGGGTGGCGTTCCAATTGCCGCGCAAAATCGGGCCCACGAAAAGCTGATCGGCAAACGCACTTCACCCGGTTGTGGGGTCTGTGGCTGCTGGCCACCCTCCATCCACATCGGGTCGCTGTCAATTTTGACGCCCAGCAAACAGTCCTCTGAAGATCTAGACTAGATGACACTTTTCGGGGGGTTTTCATAATATTTTGGCGACCGGGGTAGCCGATACGGTAATCAGAGCACAGGCTACGTAATTTACCCTCTTCGTCTCTGATTTATTCTTTTAAAAACTTTCAAGAATTGAATTAAATTTCGAATTAGGATTTTTTAACAAAAAAGAAAACATGCCGATTAAAAAAATTTGTCGATTGGCTCACAGTTTGTCATTATTTAAATTCAGCTCAACATTTTACTTGTAATCTCCTCCTTGTTCTCTGATTTTTCTCTCCCATTTCGCCTTTCCGGCCCATTTAATTGCAGCTTTATGCTCCCCATCATTAAGCTCTGCGGAAGAGTTTCTGAAAGATTTAGTCTAACAATCTGGTCGTATTTTTTGCGGATTGTCGACACGTTTTGTCGTTTTTGCAAATTCATCCATTATATTCTTGTCTTTTAGCCCCAAGATGAGCCGGAAACTGTTATTAGCAGATGAATTTTCGGTCTATTCCACGAAACCTTCAATTTCTAGGTAAGACTTCAGTGTCGTTTTTAGAGGCCTAAACATATTGGGCAAAAATTATAGCGATTTTAATAACCTTTTCGGATTGGCCTCCTTCCTCCACCAAGGATCCGACGATCGCGAGGCCCGGTATTCAAGTCTCAGCGTCAGGAGCGGAACCGTCGTGCCAGACTTGAGCGATGTGGAATGGGTACGTGGAGCTTGAGAGTGATTTTATATGTTTCTATGCTTTCTATTACAAAAATTTCTGTAAGCTGGGCTTTTCGAAGCTTTTAAAATTGTAACAAATCGATGTAGCGTACAAAAATCGACTTTATGAAGGTTTGGAACATAACCAAATTCTGAATTGCACCGAATAATACATATAATCGCAGGGAAACTAGAAGAAGAAAACTAGAAACTTCAAGAGCAAAACGGAACAATAAAACAATTCAACTAACTCAAATTAAAATGAGGCCAGATCGTAATCTAGAAAGGTTTGGAACTTTTGTTATTGTATAGTTTTATCCCGTTTCTGATTTTTTAATTTTGAAGCTTCGAGCTTATAAATTCCCCCCTACAACCTAATTTTCACATTACACATCTCCCGAATTCTCTCCCGAATGAGCAATTGGCGACTTCGTGACACGAATTAGGCCCCATTTTGGCTTCTGCCTCTCGGGAAAAGAAGGGAGGCCGAGGGATGGCCCATCGCATCTTTTTCCATTTCTTTTTGGCCTCTCGGGGACCCTTCTAATTAGTCCTTCCTATCCATACACGAATATCCGCCCCGGGCAGCCCCTGAAAAAGAGAGGGAAAAAAAGAGATGGGTCCGCTGGACTTTATAGAGTTGGTCCGGGTCTTCGAAATATTAAAGTATCGATTAAAAACTTATAATCCTTGAATTCACCGATTCCTCGCTCTCTCTCTCTCGCTCTCTCTTTCACTCTCTCCTCTCTCCCTCGCTCGCACTCTCAGTCTCTTTTACTCTCTCTCTGCCTCTCTCTGTAGCTCTCTCTCTCTCTCTCTCTCTCTCTCACTCTCTCTCGTAAAATCAGATTTCAGCTCAAAAATGGAAGATTCCGATCCGTGTACCCTTTCTCCAGGCCGGGTCGCAGAGGTTTGTGCAAATCTACTCCGAAAACATTTAATTTTGCCGGAAATGCCATTATTGGGGAGGGTAAATAGAGCTTCCAGGTCCGAAGCAGGAGCTCATAAAATTTGCTAGAAAATCCGTCTACGTCACGATCTCTTGCTCTCTTTCCTCTCTCTCTCTCTCTCTCTCTCTCTCTCTCTCTCTCTCCCTCTTTCCCTCTCTCTTTCTCTCTTTCTATCTCATTCTCTCTTTCTCCTAATATCTCTCCCGGATTCGGATTGATATCTGACTCACTCACGCTCACTCTCCTTTAAAATTAGATCCCCGCCAGGGAGGCCGTGGATTCTAGGTAACCCTATTATATTCACAGCTCATCACATACCCCCCTTCTCCATCCTCTATCCATTCCAAAAACCGCATTATAAATCAGCTCTGCCCCCTCCCCGGAAAAATGTGGGCCCCTAGAAAGGGCCCTGGGCCAGTGTTGGGCTTGGATTTCCGGGCTGTTCATTAGTCTCGGGCCACGCTCGAGCAAGGATCGCGTGGATGTGGCCTTTTGAGCTAGGGCGATATAGGATGGATAGAAAATGCAATTCTAGATTGTGATTGCCATTATTCCTTTTGTTTTCTAGCCTTCAGCTTATTTAGGCTTAGGATTTTGGCTTACAAGGAGTGCCCTTCTAGTGTCATCGGCAAAACCTTTCACGACCTAGCTCATTCGATAGAGAATTGAATTCTGAACAAGCTCCCGTTGTTCATTTTTGCGGAATGGCGGTCTCCGATTTTATAAAATTAAAAAACTAAAAACAGCATTTTTGGACCTCGATGCTCGCGCCACCCCCAAAACGCCCCCGGGGGAAGAGCCGCGCTGACCTCTCCCCACCACCAGTAAGCGTGGCGCAGTGGCTAACACCGCCGCCCACCGAATTTTTTTTGCGATTCAGGCAAAAGTTCGAAACTCACGGCAACAATTCTTTTTGCTTTTTGGATTTTGACTGCGCTGGGTTTATAGGTCAGCGGCTATTTTATTTGAAGCAGAGACAATCGAACAATCCTTTGTGAGAAAGCCTATGTTTTTGAAAAACATGCGCTAATTAAGAATCTAGTTGGTGCAAGCCGGCTTTTCTCAGAAATGCACATGAAACGGCCACGAGGGGTTCCAAGCGTAACCTTATTCAAAAAGCAAAAAGAATTGTTGATGTGAGTTTCGAACTTTTGCCTGAATCGCAAAAAAAGTTCGGTGGGCACCGGTGTTAGCCACTGCGCCACGCTTACTGGTGGCGGGGAGAGGTCAGAGCGGCTCTTCCCCCGGGGGCGCGTCTGGGGCTGGCGCGAGCATCGAGGTCCAAAAATGCTGTTTTTAGTTTTTTAATTTTATAAAATCGGAGACCGCCATTCCGCAAAAATGAACAACGGGAGCTTGTTCAGAATTCAATTCTCTATCAAATGAGCTAGGTCGTGAAAGGTTTTGCCGATGACACTAAAAGGGCACTCCTTGTTAGGCTAATTAGCTTAATGTGTTCGGATCCGCGCTATCTTGCCGTTCCAATACGAATATATTAATCTGCTCGTCTATTCTCAACAGCTTGGTTCCGTTACTAATAATGCCGACAACTACCATATCATGAAAAGAATGCCGACAACCCAAAATACCGACAAACAAACCACCGACGATCAGAAATGCGGACAACCACGATACGGACATGAACTTGAAATCCTGGGAATTGAGATGTTCTCTTTGTTTTTGGGTGCCGGGAGATATCTGTCGGTATTTCGGCTTGTCGGCATTTTGGGTATCGGTGTTTTTCGCGTTAGTTTTTCGGCTTGTCGGCATTTCTATAACAGCATAGTCAATGCAGGATATTTGGCTTGTCGGCATTCTTATTTCGAAACGTCGGAACGAACTCCTTGCGAGTTATAATAGTACATTTCTTATTGTTGTCCCCACCCTAGGCCCAAAGTGACGGATCCGGGTCTCCAGCAGAATCGAGAAGCGGAAATGTCTTGCCCTCTGTGTCAGACTCAGAGCTCGAGGCTAGCCCTCGCGTGACACCACCACCAGAGGGCTATTCTATTCGGTCTTTCCGCTGTGCAAGACGAGCCTTATTTTCGGTTTTGCACTTATTTCGAATGTCTCATCCGAAAATTATGGCCGTCTTGCAGCTGGGTGCACTTTTTGAGGGGGTTTGATGACGGGAGATGCGAATTTTAAGGCATATCTGTCTAGAAGACTTTGTCGTATCCGAACTTCGCATATTCTGGTACATTTATCATGTTTTAATCAACATAATTGTTTGAAAGCACGTTTATAACCTTTTAAACCCTTGCGATCCGGAAAAGAATCGGAAATTGCTTTAAAAGCGACTTTTCGATACTTTCAAAAAGATCCCATTTTTGTTGGGTCAACCTGTTTAAAGAAAGCTTTTCCATTTGAAACTAATTTTAAACGCATATTTAAACTATTTCAATATGCGTCGAATTCGCATAGTTTGCAAAATTATTTTTCTCACTTTTTTAATCCCAGAGAACCCTAAAAAAGTCGCAAAATTAGCATTAAAGTGATTTTGTGATACTTACACTTTCAAAACGGCATTTCTTCGTTTTACGTGTCCCAAGAATTCTTTAATAATTATAAAAATTAGGTTTTGAAGGTTATTTTAAACCTGGCAAAAAATTTTGGCATCTAAAAACTAACGTATTTTTAGTGGATTAATCATGAGTATTTACGTGCCCGCTTTCGCCTTGCTTGCCAATCCGTTGCTGATTTATCCGTTTAGCAATATGTACTGGTTGGCCAGGAATGCGCAAAGACGCGTCTCCCGTAAATATACCCCTAGGGCGTAACTCAGAAAAACTGCCGTCATCCGGAATGTGTATCGAGAATGGGGAAGCCGAATATCTGGGTTGGCGGGGCTATTTTTGCTTATTTTTGGCATTCTTATATTTGAATAAAATATACCAAAAGTCGTAAGGATAAAATAGCCTCGAAAAATCAAATGTAAATTAAATTTTTCAACTTAAAAAAAATTTATTGGATTTTTCGGTCATTTTTAAAAATTTCTATGCAAATTCGACCGCTCGTAATTATGCCTAATTTACCGGCAAAACAATCTAAAAAACACTAAATATAATAAAACAGAAGTAAAAATAATCCCAAATAAAAATTATTTGAGTGCTACGATTTTTGTAAGCAAAATGGCGCCTTCCGGAACTCTTAAGATTAACCCAATTTCCTCAGAACTCCCAAAAAGACTCAAAAATCCAGGCTGCAGGTGCGGCCCACACGTTTTTGCATTCACCTTGTAGCCGCGGTCATTTTACGCCGGCCGCCCCGATTCGTTGAGTACAGACGGCGCCCCAGCAACAGGCCCAATACCTCATCACCACAAAGGATTAGCGTTTTCATTAGGCGCCGAGGTTTCGGGAGAACTAATCAACTAAATTCACTATTAAAACAAGATTTCACTCTGAATTTCGTTAATTTATTCTGATTCCAATCTAAAGATGGCTCGGCTAACGATAAAAGTGGTGAGAAGTTTTAAAAAACTATCAAAGGCTGCTATCAAAGACTAACGTAAGTGTAGTGTAGTGTAACGTAACGTAGTGTAAGCTTAAGCGGATATGCTTCCGATTTCAATAAATTGAGTTTTTGGAGGGGAAATCTAAGCGCGGTAATTATTTTTCTAAACGGAGACAAAAATGGCTCTCCTCGACTCCTTAGGCAATTAGTTTGCTTACCGACCCACGCGCAAATTGTGTCTTTGCTTTTGCTTATTGTCGTGGAACCAGATAACGCTAGGCAAAAGCAAAGCTAAAGATTTCAAGCTCTCGCAGATTTACATCGCTCCCCTACGTTTTTCAGACTTTCATGAGTTCTACAAAGCTTTGAAGTGGAGTGTGCAAGTCCAGAAGTTATTTCTATGCCCCCATACTAATGAGTAGTTCCAAGAAAACTTGATCAAAAAGTCGGCCCGTCCGCAAGGCCATAAAATCCCCTATTTCAATATTCATTCCATTCCAGGACATGCGATCCTCCATTCCGAATCTCCCCCACGGCCACCTCCAGACGATGAACTCCTTGACGACGCCGAAGGGCTTAGTGAAGCTGAGCAGGACCGAGCTTGCGA